GCCAACTGACCGGTAGTTTACTGGACGAGTAGAGAATCTCGCTCATCAGAGCTGTGAATTTAGTTGCACTTTGTTGACGCTTACCATCAAAACGATTGCTGAAACCGTAGTCGGCGTAAGCGGCGCCCGATTGATATGCATCTATCTGTATTCGAGCATGGTTGTTTTTTAGTACTGAGTGAGGCTACCAGAATACCCACCAGTTCTCTCATCTTGGGGATGGCTGCACCACTCTCGTCCTTCTTCCATGCATTCAGATGACACAACGTGACCGTGGCAAATTCACGATCCGAGAATTGTAGCTGCGAAATAACTGTTTATTCTCTGTCTCTGGTGCCTAACTTCAAGTTCCTGGAGAAAGGATAACCTACCCCACATTGGCAGGCACTCCCACCCTTTGTCTATTGTCTAGGCGAAGTGAATTGGCAAAAAATACAAAACTGACTACATCTTGGAAGTTTTCCTTTCTGGTAGAAATTGGTTTGCCCTTCAGGTGTTAGATGGAGAGACCCTCACCCTCAATACGGAACGTTCCCCTCTGAAGATGCTTTTTCTGCAGTTTCTGCTAGATTTACTTCACTAACCCCTTTGATTTGGAAACTTGACACGTCGATTTTTACCGGCTGAACTCCCCTCCTTATAGCAGTTTCATAGCACTCATTTTACGAATTTTTCATTGGATTACCTCCGTCTCGGTATTGACTCTATAAGCGAGATAGTTGGTGAAAAGTGTAACGAACTGCCAGATGAAGCCACCAAAGCAGCACAACACAATGATGATCCACAAGATCCTGAAAAAAGTGAAATTGGGAAGCAGTACTGAAACAGTAGCTCTTTTCAAAGAGTTCGTTTCTGTCTGGCATAGAATCGAAGTGAATGAAATGAAAATTGAGGTGATTCCTCACGAACGCCTCAAACGGCTGCCCTAGTGAAGGCAGGCGCTCTATGTCTAGAGGATTCGCATTAATCGCGATAAAGGTCATTGTTTACCGTAGCCATTGAGCATTTGCAAGACCAATATGTGGAATTCCGTGAGTTGACGTCCACCAGGAGAAGTCATGAAGAATGTATATTAGGCCTTTC